AGCCATCGGTGCTATATTAAATATTTGTTTTAAACTACTTTAGCTTTGAAAGAGATTTTTCCAGTGTTTTTTTTTAAACAGCAGCTTACATTTTATTAGGACTATGGTGGGAAGGGTCCTTCCAGTTACACATTTGATTGTCACTAGAAAAGCTCTGGGAAAGACCAATAACTGTTAAAGGAAGCAAAATTGTTTCTTCTGAAGGAGGGGAGAGAAGAAAAAGAAAACAAGCCTGGGGGCCAAGTGTCACAGAAATACACTGCTGCATAGACAGAAAGTAATTTGTAGGCTCCTGTATACTAGATACAATTTTTAATGCTTATTTTTATTCAATTTTTTAGTGATAATATAGTTGATGCAGAGAAAAACTGCCATAAAAGAAAAATTAAATTATATATTGTAAAACTGTTTTAGTCCCATGGGATGAGCAGAGCATAAACTGTTATTCAACTGTATGAGATATGCTGACAGCTCAAGCTTAATATTCATAGAGCAGCTTGTGTTTAGTTACTGTTACTACACTGCAGAGGCAAAAGGAAAGAGAGGAAGCATCCAGGAGCTGAGGAAGGGATGGAAACTTCAACATAATTTCAACTGAAGCCTTAAATATGAAGATTAGCTCTACGATGCCCTGCTTGAAAGACAGGAGGGAGATGCCCAGAGAGATTTATCATTAGAACAGTATCAAATTAAGCCAGTGGTCTGCAGCCAGATTCAGCTGGTGGTCCCGATCTGGTGCCTGGGATGGACATGGTAGGGCCCCATCCAGTCACATGGTGGGAAGGTGGGGGAAACCAGCCCAGCCCTGAGCTGGAAGGGGGCATGGCCTGGATCTGCAAGCTGGGAGGAAGGGGGCATGACCTGGCCCGAGCCTGGGGGTCGGAAGCCGGGGGTGGTCACATCAGGTCATGGTGCAGCCCGAACCCGATCCCAAAGGGCTTGGGAATTTGGCAGCACAGGAGGCGGGCCATATTAATTGCCGCCACTCCTCTACCACTAAATTTCCCGACCTGCAGAGAGCCACATGGGCCAGATGCCATGGGTCCACAGGCCACATTTAGCCCATGGGATAGAAGCTAAGCACCCCTGAGTTAAGCTATGGCAAGTGGGAGGCTTCATTATCTGTTAAATTACATAAAACCAGTCAGTCCTTTTTAACTCATGGATTACAGAAACAGAAACGAAAGGAAGTTCTCCCAACTAAACCTATATTCAAAGAGAAAAAACAAGAACTCAAACACTAAAACTGACAGCCCCCTACCTTCATTTCTCACTCCCCCTCCTTTGTACCAGGTTATCCATTAGAGCAGGGGTGGGCAAAATACAGAAGTGCTCCACATGGGGCTGAGCCCTGCCCACTCCTGCCAGCCCAGACCCTGGCCAGCACACACAGGTTTCCTGCAGGGCTGCTCCCAGAGTGGTTGCAGCTGCCCAAGTACTTCTCAGCTCCCCCTGCTTCCAGTGGTTGCTCCTCCTCTTGCCCCTGCTGCACCTCTCCAGGTAGTGGGGAAGCTACAGCTGGGTGGAGCTCTAGCTCCTGGCCACCTTCTACCCACTGTGCCCGCACAGCGCGATGAGCAGCCACCTGCAGGTAGTAATGGCAAGTGCCAAGTATCCAGCTACTGGACCCAAAATTAGGTCAGTTAGCTATTGGTTGGAGAGTCAAAAGCCAAAAACCATACTGTGCACCCACAGAATGAGGTGGCAGAGCTAGAACCGTGGAGAAGGAGCTCTGGATACATTTGTATTGTGGTGCATGCAATTTTTTTTAATCATTTTTGTTTTAGCACAGAAAAAGAGTTCTGTGTATTGGCACAATTAGTTCCAATAAGATGAAACGAGTAATAAATAATGCAAAAACATAAAATGTAGCAAATGTAAAATAATACAGAAAAACAAACAAATGATTGTGTGGAAAATACAGCAAGACAAGACATGCAACACTGCTTCAGGACAGCTCCTTGGTTAAACAGTATCTTCATATAAATTTGTTTTTTATGAAAGCCATGCAGGGACAAACTTATTCCATAAGAAGATTATTTTTTCCGCGTTCTTTAACTTGCCTTCACACGGAATACATTTCAAGAACAACTATGCACCTTTAAATTGACACATTTACTTAATCCATTTACTTACCTTTGAAAAGTAAACAAGCTCTTAATATCTGGGTGTTATTTCCAAAAACCTGTAGACTCTGTTGGGTAACGGTGCTTTGCTAACACCAGCAAAAGTCTGAGGGAGTGCCAAGGTGAATAATCCAAATGTGGCATTTCTTTTGATGGGGACCAAAAGATTACTGCTACCCATCTCTTCACAAAAATCAGAATGTCATAATTCTGGTAATACAAACACTATCTGAAGTAAAAATCTCAGATGGTAAATTAGACGAGCCAAGAAACAAATGACACCACACTATTTTGGGACTAAAGGCACTGCACTAATCATTTTAGCGACAGTCCCCAAGAACACAAAGCCTACAGAATGCTTGAAAATGCAAAGTGTGTCATTTGTGACCCTCATTTAGCCTGTACTATATTGCAGCTCTGAAAACAGCTATGCTTTTCCTGATCAAAGGGGGTATTCAGAAATAATTTAGAAGTTATTTTCTCATAAAAGGAATTCCATTAAGCTAGACATGTTCTTTGCTTTAATAAAAATAACATATGTATGTGGGGCAGAATGACAGAAGTAGTGATATTTAAGGTTTGTCATTAAGGTAACATCCCAATGACACAAAGAACATGTATATTTCTTCCTGGATTTCAAACACAGTCACAAAGACATTTTTGATGTTTTATGTGAAATAGCTTAAAAGCCAAAAACTAGATGTTCAGGAAAACTAGAGCATGCAGTGAAATTATACAGTACCAAAGACTGAATCTCTTGGAATTGCATTCACCTAATTTATGCAAGAGCCACCTGGTTCCAGAATCTTTTAAAATCACAATAGCTAGTCAACTCAGCTATCCTCTTCAGCCCTGGCTTGCTAAGTGTGGCAGGAATCAAGGAAATAGTCCATGAGGGTGATTAACATTTTGAACTACTGGCATGTCATAACTCTCAAGGGAGAGGAGAGAAAGTAGTGAGGGTCATATCACTCCTGACTTCATCCCTTCCCACCCACACCATACTATATTGCCATGAAACTATTGCTGTCAGTGCTGGAATCTCGATGCTATTTAAATAACATCAAGATTCCAGCACTGACAACAGTATTTTCATGGCAATATAGTATGGTGTGGGTAACTAAACTTAAATGGTGAGGTGGGTCGCTTAGGTTCTAATTTATTGTTGCTCAAGCAGACCTAAACTTGGGAATGAGGCACTCAGTAGCAACTGCTGTAGTAAGAGTATCATAAAGTTCTCTCAAAATAGACACTAGCTGTGCTGCTGGCAAGATCCCAATACTGTTCAGGTTTATTTTGCTCTGTAAAGTCCAATGGGAATATTTCTACTGTCCAACTAGTTTGTTAGCCATCTTTTCCTCCCAGTCAATTTCAAAGGCAAGCCTGAATTTCTCTCAGCAGGCTTCTACAGCAGAGAGTGGGGATATTGTTAGAGAACTGCAGGACGGTTCACCTTGGAATACTTGCATAAGACTCAGTGACATCTCCATATTTGGAAGGTTTTTCAATGTTTCTAAGAAAGTCATTTACTGCCACATGTGCCACTGCAATAGCACAATGAATTCTTCATGGGGGACAAAATGTCACAAGAAATAACTATGCTTTAAGCCACACACTAAATGCTTTTTTCCCCTGCTTTTTTGATATTCTATAGCACTGAAAGAGGCGAGAGGAACCCTATAAATGTGAGTGCCCAAGACTCAATCAGTTTCAGTTCCCTCCTCTACATATGACACCTTGTTTAGGATTTCATCATAGAATCACTGAAAATTAGGGTTGGAAAGGACCTTATGAGGTTATTTAGTCCAATCCCCTACTCAAAGCAGGAACAGCCACAACTAGATCATCCCAGCCAAGGCTTTGTCTAGCTGGGTCTTAAAAACCTCTAAGGATGGAGATTCTACAATATCTCTGGGTAACCTGTTTCACTATTTTGCTACCCTCCTAGAACAAAAGCTTTCCCTAATATCTAACCTAAACTTACATTGCTGCAACTTGAGACCATTGCATCTTGTACTGTTATCTACCACCACTGAGAACAATCTAGTTCCATCCTCTTTAGAACCTCCCTTCAGATAGTTGAAGACTGCTAATTAAACCCTCCCTCAGTTTTCTCTTTTCCAGACTAAATAAGCCTAGTTCCCTCTTCTCATAAATCCCCATAAATTCCTCTCCTCAGCTTGTCCTCATAAGTCATAATCCCCAGCCCCCTCACCATTTTCACAGCCCTCTCCTGGACTCCCTCCAATTTGTCCACATCCTTTCTGTAGTGGGGGCCCAAAAGTGGACACATTACTCCAGATGTGGCCTCATTAGTGCTGAATAGATGGGAATAATCACATCCCTCAATCCGCTGACGACACTTCTAACAATGCAGCCTAGTGTGCCATTAGCTTCCTTGGCAACAAGGGCACACTGGTGGAACATATTCATCTTATTGTCAACTGTAACCCCCAGGTCCTTTTCTGCAGAGCTGCTGCTTAACCAGATAGTCCCCAGCATGTCAGTGCATGGGACTCTTCCATCCTAAGTGCAGGACTTAGCATCTGCCCCATTGAACCTCATGTGATTTCTTTTGGTTCAATCCTCCAATTTGTTTAGGTCTCTCTGAATCCTAGCCCTACCATCCAGTCCATCTACTACTCCCCCCCCCACCAATCTTGGTATTATCTGCAAACTTGCTAAGGGTGCACTCCATGGCATCTTCCAAGTCACTGATGAAGATATTGAACAAAACTGGCCCCAGGACCAACTCCTGGGGCACTCCAGTTGATACTGGTTACCAACTAAACAGCAAACCATTGACTACTATGCTCTGAGCCAGATGATCCAGCAAATTTTCATTACTGAGATTAAAAATATTCTATACTGTACCTTGGGATTAGTTCGCTGCTGAAGTCTTCTTTCTTCCCTCTCTCTTTGCAAACGTTCAAATTCTTCTCTGATTTCAGCTGGGGTTCTCTTCCTTTCCACAACCTGTGCAGAAAGGGGTTGAGATGCAAAGGATTATTGGGCAAGAGAATGCACAGCAAACAATTACAAGGGATTTAATCATTGATGGAATTTGAAACATTCTTAAGTCTCTTAATTATTTCTCTGGACAGCCACCCTTTCTTTGTAACATCACCTTTTTTGCTGTAAGTGTTGCATGCCATAGAGTTTTTATTACTTTATTTATATTTGTAATGTAAGTACTATTTCTTGTCACAAGCTTTTTATCCAATTAAAAAAAAACACATTACAAATAATAAAAAACACAGTCTCTCCATGTACATATGTCCAGTAGATCATGCCAAATATTTTTACTTATATATTTATAACTGCCATCTATGCATCCACAAACAATTCTTAAATGCCTCAGAGAAGAGTCAGGCAATGCTTTGTTCCCTCAAAGTTAACAAATCTGGCCAAGTGGCTGTGAGAGGGTGAAGAGTTTCAAACTCAAAGACTACCATGGAAGTGCCCTGTCCACAGTCCTCTCTCAGTACAGCCAGATATACATGTAGCTTGAGCAGCACTGCTGATGACAGACATAGTGAAAGAGGTTCTCTCTAGTGAAGCCCCATATCACTTGAAACTCATCATTGCTAAAGTTAACACCTTAAACACCACCTGGAAACTAAGAAAGAAGTGTTACTTAGAGGCCTAGCACCACATTTTACCATATTTACTCAAATACAAGACAAGGTTTCCCTCCCCCTGCAATCAGCATGGGGAAAAAAAGCTCCTTGTATTACATTCACATACTAGAAAACCTTGTCAAATACACTGTGTATCATTAAACAGAGGCCAAACAAAAGCAGCATGTGCTCAGCAATGGAAACTAACTATAAACTACATTAAATGCAGTTAACACCAACCATGACTATAAAACATGCATGACTATAAAACACATGGCCCATACTTTTTGTCCTGGGGTTTCAAATACTCCTAAATCTATGGCAGGCATCCTATATGCAAGCCCCAAGCCTGGAGGTTTTGAGATTCAAATGTCCCCAAGTGTGCTCACCTTTATTTTATGGAGATGGGGGATTTCCCCCTAGTTTGCTCCTTTGGCCTTTTGGCTAAAGTGTGTAGCCAAGATTCTCCCATTGGGAGGCTATAAGGGCTATGGGTGCCTGCCCACAGTGGAATGGACAAGTCTCCACCCTCAACTACACAAAGCCATTCAAGGTCAGGGAGAAGAGGGATCTCCCTTGCCAGGTACAGCAAACCACCAAACCACCAATACTACCCTCCACCATAGTGGTAATTGTGGCATCTCCCCTGCCAGGGCAACCATACTAGTGTTAACCTACAAGGCTAGGTTAATGCAGTCCATCTGAATGGGTAGTCCCAATGAGCACAGTTCCCCCCAGTGCCAGCAATTTTTCCAGTGCCCAATGAACTAAACAGTAATTCATGAGCACAAGGTGTGCAGATGCCCAATTCTCAACTCCCAAAACAAGAGCTCTACTCTCAGCTTAGTAATGGCTTGAGAACTTACAGTGGCCAGAGATAACACTACAAGGACACGCTGAAGGCATGCCTCAAGAAAATGGATGCTAACATCAAGAGCTGGGAGGAGCTGGCTGCTGACCAACTCCAATGGCACCACAGCCTCAACCAAGCAGCAGCCTGTTTTAAGGTAAAGCGTCTTGCTCTCAAATAAGAGAAGAGAGGAAAGAGAAAAGAAAATGATACAAATCCCAGCTTGAAATCTACTCTCTCCTATGCAAAGACCTGAACCTTCTGTGGATGGATATGCGGCTCAAGGATTGGACTCTTAAGTCATCATAAGACCCATCAATGAGCCATAGCAGAGATCACCCTCAAATTGAGGGATTGCCAATGACAGCAATGTTGGGCTCTTCTTTCCTCAAGCTTTCATCCCACACTTAAGCTGTTTCCAAGCACTTCAAGCCTCATCAGTCTTCTCCCAATCATTTGGCTTGATGTTCATTGCCTTCATCTCTCTTGCAAACATCTTTGAACTAGAGATAAGGACACCCATACGGTCTTTTTCCTGTAAAGTTTTTTCATACAAGAGATCTTTGGATATACTGCCAGTCTCAGCTTGTGACCATGCGATAGTTGATGCTGACTGAGAAGAGAATGGATGCTTAGAATGTTGACAGGGCCACTGCAGGTGTCTGGCTGCCTTTCTGGTTTCAAAAACGAACATCAGTTCACTTTATTATCGGTTCAATCCATGCAGTTCAGAGAAACTTACAAAGATTGAACTGATTCAGCATGGGGCTTCTTGACTGGCTGTATTTAGCCCTTGAGATTTGTTGGACAACACTCCTTGCTTCCCTCAGTTCCTTCAAAATTCCAAAGAATCTCTCTTGCGATTGAATGTACCAGTTTGTTTGGCCTAGATAAATGGAATAAATGCATGGGGGTGCACTTTGAACCAATCTCAGTTTCTTCTGATCTGAATACAGTCAGCAGTGACACAGATCATTTTTTTTAGGCTTCCCCCACTTCTGTTCTGCAGTCTCGCAAAAGACAGATCTGAAGCAGGCTTCAAGTTATGTTTCTGCTAAAAGAACACTATTGCTCATAATAAAGAGAAGGCAGTGCTACAATGACATTTCAAAACAGACTTGACATCACTAACTAGAATCTGCCTAATACCCAGTTTTATATAGCACTTTAGCTGACACTAAAATTGAGCCTTTATGGTATGGAAGTTTATGGCTTCAAATGACAGATTTATAACCGTTTCCAGAATTGTAATATGTGCCAGGTGGCTTAGGAACAAAACAAGACAGAATCAAATGGTACAAGCAGAAAGCAACTTTGTCTGAAGTTTGGATTTTTGTGTCTCAGTTTTCAGATCCATCCAGCCTCAAACTACCTGGCTTCACTGGGCTCTGGAATATCTGGAGGGAAATCCATCATGTGATGTTCAGGCGTTTCCAGCCTGTATAGTTTTTATGGGCAAGTTTTCTATGGCATTTTGCCTAGAAATCTAAGGTGCTAGATGTTATATATCAAATTAAAAAACCATTGAAGGCAAAACTTAATTAAACATGAGGTACAGGAAATCACAAACATGACCTAAAAATACTTCTGAGAAAGCTGAGTATTTGATCTGCCTTTCCAATCTGGGCTGAAGAAACTGGTGGCTGGGAGGGGGTAAATACCGGTAAGACCAAAAAAGGGGCAAGATTTGTTGTGGAGAAGTCCTATCACATTACTTTTGCAAGCTTGAATTAGTAATTCTAGATTACTTTCTCTCTCTCTGTTTTTTGACATGGGGAAGAGAACAGTTCTATGCGTATGTGTTCAGTCTAACTATGGTTTGGGGGTTTTTTTTGATGTACCATTAGATACAGCTATTGAGAATAAAATGAAACCATACTATCTATCTGCAATTGGGAATCTGTAAATTAGCAGCAATAATCTCTATGCATCTACACTCTAACACATGTATGCAGGAAGCTTCCATATATAATCAATACAGCACGGAAGGTCTCCATATAATTTTGTGCAATTAAATAACATGTCACACAAACAAATAAAAACCAAAAAGCCTAAGATTCTAATACTAATGTATTAGTACATTAGTACACTGACACATCAAAAATTACTATTAGCTATATGAAATATATAATTTTTGCAATGCAGGTGAACTACCTAGATACTTATAATGCAGCCACTTCAATAGTTCTAAGCATGCTATGCAAATTAACAAAAGGTTTACTTGTGTTCACTGAAGGGCTAGAACTTCATATCTTCCCCAGTACCCTCCCAGCTTTCTCTCATTCCTTTTGCATCTTGCATGTGTTTGGAGAGCCCAGACTCTCTCCAGAAACAGAAACACACACATTCAAACACTGATCTATGAAAAAGGTGACTGCATCAAATGCACAAGAAACAGCACATAACACTTAAGCAATGGGCTTGCATTTTATTTATTTATATATATAAAACAGCAGTATAGATCTGGACCGCGCTGAGTAGGCTTGGCAGAATTTGATTTTTATATTTTTTTATTTCAACAGCAAAAAAATCAATGTTTATTTTTAAGCATTTTTTCAATTTTTATTGACTAAAATTCAGGATTGCATGAAATTAGGGGTGTTTCTTGATTGTTATCAATTTAGAACACAGAGTGGCCACTGAAGGAGCTGGGAGTGGTGCCAGTAAGGCTGTGCCAGGACATGGGGTTGGGGGGGCAGGAGCCCAGTGCTGCTAGCTGCTTGCTCTGCCCAAGTCCCAGCAGGAGCAGGGGCCCAACTCACACGGAGTCCAACCTGGCCTGGTTCCTATGTGATTGCGGCAGGAGCCAAATTCCCATGGATGCTGGGACAGGTTCTGCAGGAATCTGGACCTTGCCCCAGCTAGAACCTGGGCAGAGAGAGCAGCCAGCAGCACTAGGCTCTCCAGTGCTACCAACCCTGCCTTTCCAACTCCTACTCCTAGCACAGCCTTACTGGCAAATCCACAGCTCCTGCAGTGCCATTGTGCATGCACACAGAAACACCTGCCCTGGATTTCCTTACCTCTGTCCCAGCTTTTTTTTTTTAAACATCTCTTTTATGTAAATTTTGATGATTACTGACATAAATAGCTTTCCATTGGTCTGCGAGCATCAGGTGAAATTGATGCATATTGATACAAATTGAATTCTGCCAAGCCTGGTTATGAGGCATCAAGTGAAATGCAGAATGTCTTTATCACATGAAATGTGTTCACAGCAATGTGCACTTGTACACCCTGCTTGAGGGTCTATTATGCCTATTGTATTTTTAGGCTATTTAGTACAACTCAAATGCTTAAGGTAAGGAGAAGACTCCCCAAAATATCAAAATGTACTTGATCAACTTGTTCCTCAAGTCACAGGAGCACATGGTATCCACACACACCACTCCTCAGACTCTACATAAAGAAAAAGGTCTTTTACAGTAAATGAACAGAATAGACAAACTTCTTGTACAGAAAGAAAAAAAAAAAAAAAAAGGTTTTTTTCCATAAATAAAAAAAAAAAAAAGGTTTTTTTCCATAAATAAAAAAAAAAAAAAGGTTTTTTACAGTAAATGAAAAAAAAAGAAAAACTTTTTTTACAAAAAAAAAAAAAAAAAAAAAAAGGACAGAAAAATTTAATAGCACTTAAATACTGGCAGCTATTTAAAGGTAATGCTGCTGCCTCCCGGGAGTAAAAGCTATTACTGATGCAGGACATGACTTATATTAAACAATTCATCCACCTGCAGGAATTCCTTGAAGGCTGCTGCTGCCTGCTACATAAAATGAGCTTGGTTTCAGTTAAATTGTTTTAACATATAAGTAATGTATTCATTTTATCTGTAGTATATTAGCCCTGATATATCTCAGGAGTTGATACCTAGGGAGGCACTTTGGATATTGTGCAAAGGCATTTTTATTTTTCAGTGTACACCTTGTCTCACAGTGTGCTATTAAATGCTAGAACGTGATTCTGGTATACAAGAATCTGACTGGTCCACTCAGTTTTACACCACAAATCTGGTGTAAAAATATGTATTAATTATCTTTATTACATAACTTTTTCCTTGCTGTGCTCTGTATTTTTCTTGATTTTAGGTTTGTTTTTTTTGGTGATGGTATCACATCAATAGGTTGCAAATTAAATCATCATGGTTTGTTACCACAAAAATATAGAAAATCTGCAACAGAAATGTGTAACAGAAATCTGGAAATGAAGCCAAGTTAATTAATTTCTCAGGTAGGGTTTACACATTGCAGAAGGGGACAGTGCCTGAGATCTGGTCTGAGGTGAACCAACTGAGCTAAGTTTTTGCAACATTGCACGTGGATCCCCTATGCTAATTTAAACCCAACTTTTACTGGTTTAACCTCCATGTCATAAATTATTAGTACACCAGATTTGTACCAGTCATGCAAAGGATAAGATTTGGCTCCTGTTACTGAAATTGGATATACAATACTAAGGCCAAAACTTGTGGGCTGCCACACTTGGTTGCTCCTTTAACTTTCCATCCACTAACACCAATCTTGATCTAGGCATGCAACTGAACCCATAACACAACTTTTTTAAGCAACTAGCACAAAGTTATCAGCCAAGCAAGGCAGAAACCAGCAAAGGGGACCTTGCAACAAGCAGCAAGGAGTGGATACATCCTCTTTCACTTCAAAGGTTTCTTTTTTTTTCCACATAGGCACCTATAATCTCATAGGCTAGTTGATATGGAGAGAGTTTTGGATGAAAGATGCTTGCATAAGACTAGAAGGACACTGATGACATATTTGTCTCTCAAATACATTGCTTTTCATGGTAGTATCTTATTTGGGAACTCTGAATCTCAGATTTATTGTACTCTTGTCAAAAAAGAAAGAAACAGCCATTACTTGAAAAATATACAATGACATTCTAAAGAGAGAGAAAAAATGACTAGAGTGCCTTCAAACAGATATACTTCTACCATCAAGCTGTCATTACATTCTGATACAACAGCGTGTATTTCTGATAAGCAGGGATTCTGGTTTTCCCTGATAAAAAAAATACAAATTCTCTGATAAACCCCCCAAAATTCATGATTAAAATGAAAGGCCACTAATTTTATACATCTATATCAGCTGAACACAATGTTTTCTTGATATATTTACAATTCTAAAGTAATTTGGAAGCCTACCAGTACTTCAATCACTAAAATAAAATACAATAAAATGAAATAAATTCTAAATACCTATAAAGTTTGATATTTGATTTTGGGGTTTTTATCATGGAAAATCAGAGCTTTCCCTGCCCCCTTAGCTTACAGAATGCAGGTCCAGGCCCCTCACTCCTCACCCACAGCCCCCTGGCCCTGCTGGTGCCCCTCATTCCCCCCCTCCACACAGCTGCCCCAGCCTAGCTCCCTGCCAGGGCCTTGAAGCCATGCATTCCAGCTCCAGGCCCCATGCACTGCCTGGCTGGGCAGCAGCCCCAGCCCAACTCCCTCCTTATGGGGGTCTTAATTTTCCTCCCACTTCCCCCAAACTTACCTGTGGGAGCTGCTCTCCAGGTTGCCCGGTGGCCATGTGCATATACATGCACATGGCGCTCCTTACCTGACCACCCTCCTCCTGCTCCCTGCAGCCCCTTGCAGGCTGTAACTCTGCCAGCCTGCAGACAGCTCTCTGCAAAACGGCAAAATCCGTGGGTTTCTCCATTAAAATAAGGAATCCGTGTTTTCCTTGAGTAAAGGGGGAAATCCGTGTTTTTCTCTGGATCCCTGTTGATAAGGCTAGAATTAGTTCCCTTCATGGGATTTCTGGTGTTGAATTTGTCTTACCTCCCATCCTTCCATTTCCAGTCCTCTCCTTCCATAGATGTCATAGATCGCTCTGGTCTGTGGATCGCTAAGCACTGCAAATTAAATCAAACCGGCTTAGAGAACAGAAGTATTCATCTTTAATTATGATCTATTTATTGGTAATTATTTGAAATATAGCAGGTACTGGACAGCAGCTGTAAACGGATCGGTTTCTTTCCCCAATGCAGAAATGCTTTCCTAGATCTACACTTAGTCACATTTACAGCTGCTATAGAACATAAAGGTCAACAACAACTCCTACTAGATTTCATCTTACCTGCCTTTACATAAAATATAAAAGGAAGAGACATGTAGACTATTTGAATATGCAATACATTTTTTTCCAACATTCCTCCATGAATGCAGAAGTCTGCTGTGCTCTGGTCAGGTGACCACAGCAGACTAGTGTATAGTCAGGTACTGGATCCAATGCCAAGAGTCCTATAATTTTCTCTGTTTTTTTTTCTAACAGCATGCTATAATCTACTTTGGTGAGTCTATAAGGTGCAAACCTACCTTGCTTTTTACTTTTCCAAAAGGTTCAAAGTACTTTCAAGAACATTTAAAAAATATTCAAACCCCAAAGGGGGATAAATGGATGAGATTACAGCAACAATTCTGGCAGAGGACAAATCCCTTCAGAAAAGAAACCTGTGAGCATGTGAACTGTGCTTCTCAGATGAAGCAGCAGCAAGTGAAATTAACCACTAACAAGAAAGCACAGTTCTGACCTCAGGTATGTGGATGAAGTAGAACCATGAGCAGACTCTACAACAGTGTACTCTGTTGACATATTTAGTTGGAAAATGCAGAATTTACTTAAATGCATCACAGATAGCCTGTGCCTATTGCTTACATGGTAACAAGCTTCAGTTATCTACATATCCACTAAATGTACAAACTGCTTATATTCAAATCACCTTTCAGCCTCTCTGTCCACTAGGTAACTTAACTGTACTTCAGCTAACTGCACAATAACTCAGTTGGTCTACTTGAAACTAACTGCTTGATTTACAGCATGGGTGACTGGTGCCTCCTGAGTGTGTATGTGGGGGGGGTGGCCAGCAGCGCATCACCAGCTGGGGGGAAGGGGTCCCCCAGCGGCCCATCACCAAACCAGTGGCGAAACCAGGAGTGCACTTCCGGTGGCAGTTCCGGTTTCATGCCTTCCAGGGGGTGTGTGGCCGATCTCAGGGGGTGCATATGCACCTCCTACACATCACCATTAATTTAGAATAAATGAGCAGCAGCTGTGGAAGGGCTGATACAAGCAGCCTTAAAAGCCATGGGAGCTAGTCAGTTTCATAGCTACCATCTCCCGCATTTTCAAGTGCTAATAGCAGCTCCAAAAAATAACTATTAGCAGCCTTCAGAATGAATGGAGTTAGTTTTGGGCGGCTAATATCACAGCATTGACAATGCTGCTTACAACACTCCTTAAGTAGCAGGACTGTCAGTGCTGACTAGCTCTCTAGCAGCAGAGTCCAAACTATTAGAAGTATGGAAAACAAGGAGAAGCTTGGGGGTTGCTAGTACCTCATCACAAAAATCAGTATTGTTAATGAGCACTGCTGACATTATGTTTGATAAGTACACAGCCTTTATCAAGTCCTGAGAGTAGGCATTCAAAATGGAATGCACTGTACAGGGTGCACACACAAGTTGCAGGGTGACAGAATTACAGGTTTCCCTTGATTTATGCGGGTTCTTTAAATGCAAATTTGCTCTTATGCAATGAGCATATTTAGACCTATAATTCGTTATATGCAAGGTCAATTCACTGTTATATGATCAGCATAGATACCCCTCCCTCCCCAGCCCAAGCAGGTAAGTCTGTGGGGGGAGGGGAAAGGGCCGTGGCCCCACTCACCCCAGCCCTAGCTGCAGCAGCCCCATGAGTGGCTGTTGTCAGCTGCCTGCAGCCGCTGGGCTGCACTGACTGCTCCGCCTGTCCCGTCACCTCTGCTCCTGGGCTACACCGTGCCCTGGTGCAGGCAGCTGGTGTTAGCTGCTCCCGGAGCTGATCCAGGATGGGCTGGGGTAAGTAAGGACAACCAGAGCCCCAGGCAGCATGGGGTGCAGCACTCACACCAGCCCTGGCTGCAGCGACCCCAGGAGCAGCCAACACCAGTTGCCTGCACCAGGGCACGGCACAGCCCAGGAGCAGGGGAGAGTGGGGACAGGCAGTGCATGGTGCAGCTCCCTCCCTCACCACCATGGGAACCTATCCCTAATTGTTACATTGTAAGGTGGGTTCGCTTTATGCGAATTCGATTTATGCGCCGTTCTCTAGGAATGCATGTACTGCAAAAATTGAGAGAAACCCGTATAGAAAATGAGGGTTGGAAGGGACATCAGGAGGTCATATCTAGTCCAGCCCCCTGCTCAAAGCAGGACCCCAACCAGATTCATAGATGTTAGGGTCGGAAAGGACCTCAACAGATCATCAAGTCTGACCCCCTGCCTAGGCAGGAAAGAGTGCTGGGGTCAGATGACCCCAGCCAGATGCCTATTCAGCCTTCTCTTAAAGAGCCCCAAGGTAGGGGAGAGCACCACCTCCCTTGGAAGCCCTTTCCAAGTTTTGGCTCACATGCCTGAGCTTGCACGGTTATTCGCCAGCCAAGGCTGCGTCTACCTGGGTCTTAAAAATCTAAGGATAGAGATTCTATCGCCTCTCCGGGTAGCCTGTTCCAGTGCTTTACTACTCTCCAAGCAAGAAAGATTTTCCTAATATCTAACCTAGAAACAATATATAACTATCTCTTCAACAATGGGCCTAGAAGTACTATTCTGATGCAATCACACTGGCTGCTTGCAGATGCTTAAAACCGCCCCCAAAACCAAAAAAACCCCACACTTTACCAGAAGCAGCAGTGCGTTACTTAGACCTGGCTCCAAAGTGTCTGTATAGATCAGGTGCTTCAGCAGGGCTTTTTGGCGCTTTTTTCTAATAGCTGATTCAATCAGCTATTAGATACAGGTGCCCAAAAGCCTCGCTAAAGCAGCAGATCTATACAGAAGTTGGGTGAGCTGGGTCCAATTAACATGCTGCCTCTTCTAGGTATGCATGCTGAATTTAAAGCACTGCTTTAGGGGAGGAGGGGGGTTTAACATCTGCAAGCAGCCACTAACATTAATGAAAACAACTCTGCTATAGTTAACAGTGACAGCAGAACTTAAAGAACTCCCTGCAGCATGCAGGGAAAAGTGGAGAAATCTTATGTTACCAAGATCTCATTATTTTGAAAACATACAATGTCTCCATCTACTTGCACACTTCTGAATATTAGGGATTCTTTTATAATACAAATGTATAATTATAGACACTAAAGAAAACTGTCAACAGTGTCAAGCATAAAGGCCTTTTTTTGGGGGGGGGGGAGGGAGAAAACAGACATTCTTTTACTCTTTTCTTCAAGTTTTCTGCCTGTGAATCTACTTGAACTCATCATTATTAAAGCACATAGAAATAATTCAGTGACGGAGTTCCTGATGGCCTTACAAGCTACTCTGGGATGGATACAATTCCTGTTTAGAAGCCAAACTTCATATTTGGCTTCCAGACCCATGTAGTTCTATCTGCTCCTCTACCCATGATAGTCAAGTGAATCTGTGCCAAGCAGAAATCTTATTGGACAAGAAACACTTTGACAAATGTCATATGACCAGATCACTACTTTATCACTTAAATGAAAATGCTTTATATGTATATACATACACACATATATAAAACTAGGCAACTGCCTGTCAAGAATGATGGGGGGGGCGGGGACAGAGGCCTGAGTCCCTTCCCCCCCTCACCTCGGACTGGGCCCGTTCCTCCTCTTCCCCACACCGCTTTGGGCCATAACCTACCCCCTTCCTACTTCCCTCCCTCCCCTGTTTTCTGCCACCTCCCCTCCCTGCCAGCTGTTGTTGGGGGGCACTAGCCCCTGGCTCCAAGGAGTAGACCCACGGGGGTGATGCCAGCACTGCTGGCCTCGCCACCCCACTCCATCACCTCCGTTATGGCACCACTCCAGTCTTCATTGTCCCCCTCTGCCTCCCCTCCAGCCCCAGTCCCCACTGTCATGGCAGTACTCCACTGTCTGTCCATGTCTGCGTAGGGCACTCTGATTGGCTGCCAAGACAGCCAATCAGAGTGCGAGTAAAGCATGACAACAGACAGGCAGACTTAGGCTTTTATAATATGAGAACTCCAAACTCCTACAAAAATCCCCCCACAAAAGATAAAAGAAAAACACAGCTGGGAATTACAGGTCAACCCATTTTGGCACTATGAATTAATAAAGTCTGTAAAATCTTCAGATAAAATAATTCAATGTGCTTGCCATAAAGTAACCCTTCCTTCAGGCTCCTGTACTTTTCTCCAAACTTTCCTAAGTCTTATCTTTTCCTAATACTTTAGGTTTGACTGCTACAGATGTGCTACAGAAAGGGGTGGAAGTAGGGCTAAGTTAAAAAAATGAGACTTTTAAAGAAGAATTAGCTTCAAATCTTAACTATGGAGAAATCAGTGAGCCCTTTTAAGTAGTATTTTTCATAATTGCCTCCAAAAGACTAATTTACTTGCCTGGTCTCAGGGTGTTGGTTTATGTATCTTCCACAAATGTTCAAATGTAAAGCACCATGCACACATTTGGTGCTGAACAAGGAAACATAACCAAAAAACCCTGGAAATTCAGAGAGAGAGCTGACCCTGCCATTAGACCTGTTTACTACAGAATGTCAACTCACTCTCTGAATTTCCAAAATAAGCCTTAAAACATAACTCTTTTTGAAGGCATCTGAGTTTCCACTCTCTATCATCATCAGACAGCCTTCAGTGCTTCTTTTTTTAGTGAAAATCTCCATACACTGTACCATACATTGTAAGGCCTAATTAAGAACAACATAAATGATTCTACCCACGTTCAAGCCTAATGGTGGAGAGAAATGCTGACCATTCAGAAAACAGAGGAGCCAAATTTCTTTAGCTAATCTCTGGGATTTAACAAGGAATCATTTATTCACCACTTTGCTTTTGCTTCCCTTTAGGCTAAACCACCAGGCATCAAGTTTGCTGCTGCAGCAGTTTTACTAGAGAATATTCCCATTGGCTTCTAATTCTCTTCCATTTCAGTTATTCCCCCCAAATCTCCAAAACACTGCAGGCAAACTCTATCAATAAAACAGGCAACTACAAAACTAATTCAGTCAAACCTAGATAATAAAATATAATTAGAAGGGAATAGTTTCAATCAAATCCTTTGTAGAAATGGTTCAGTCCATCTGCCTCTGACTGTAGAATTAAATTTTAAAGAATATATTGTTTCACCTATGCAAATATATCATCCACCACATTGTGGTTGTACCACTGGCCATTAAAATTATTTTTTTGGCAAAACTGTACAGTGAGATACAAGATAAGCTTTCTTTGTTTTGTAATTTTTTTTTTCCAAGTGCAAAACATCTTTACCTATACTCACCTGACTAATTATACAATGATTTTCATGACTCACTAAAGAGCATCTACAAAAATAATAGTAAGTTCTCTAACTGCTAGTTAAACCCTGCAACCTAATTCTAAACATAATCTACATAGAAAGCAAAGCCAGGTCTATAATGGTCATAGCTACTTTCAGCAGAAACTTCCATGCTGACAGAGTTGGATTTTATATCATTGACTACTCATCAACATCAGACGTCAGAGAAGGAAGGAAATAAAAGTTACGTTGAAAGTGCAGACCAATGGAAAAAACCCTAATCATAACCCTGTTCACTCTCCCTTTCAGCATCCACTCTCTGCCATTAAGAAACACAAGATACTGGGCAAGATGGACCTATGGTCTGAGCCAGTAAATGGCAGTTCTTTCGTTCGTAACTGAATGACGTGATTTGGTTCTGTTGCCAGGTCTGCCACTATTTCTGTGAAAATGAACAAAACACCAAATGCATTTTTATGCCTCAGCTATAACACCTGTAACAAGCCAACCATTTTTACTTAGTTGGGCGCTAAATTCATAAATGATTTTAATATGCTTTGAGATCCTTGGGTGGAAGAGGTTAAAGTCACTAGTGCCTTCTACAATCTGGCCTTAGAATGTATGGGAATTCTTGCTTAAAAGAAAGGAGCACTGAAAACCCTGAGTGGATGATGACAAATGGAAACTCAGGACCCTGCTGTAGAAAGAAAAAAAATTAATATGGCTTTTCAAAACTTTCCTTTGGTCTTTCCTCAGGGTTGACCTCTTTGAAAAAAGTCTAAACAAAACCAGACACTGAAAAATTTACTGAATGCATTATTAAAAACCATAAAAGATCTTGTGAGTTTCAACAGCTCTCTTATTAACAAAATGGCTTGGCACTAAAAGAGGAAAATTGTCCTGGGAACAACACTGTTCTGATAAAAAGTGTTTTTGTTGGAGAGAAAACTGGTTTTGTTTATCCAAGCTAGGGCCTGATGAAAGTTACACATGCACATACTGAGTTTTCTGGATGCTCAGTGAAAAATTCAGTGAGGGTGCACAGAGAATCAGGGAAAGATTCTTTATTGTGGTCACTGATCATACTGCAAATTTAAACCTATACAAGGTCTTCTGCTTCACAGAATAGGGCTTATGCATCTTATATATGCCTACATATTGCTGTTCTTACTATTATGTGATACTTAATTTTTAGTGCAATGTACTAAAGCCACTAAAAGCATTCTTTCCATACAAGTAACTTTCACTGATTGCCTGGTCTACAAAGAGTACTGCATAAAAACACAAGGTGGTAAAAGCATTCATTACATTGTGTGAATGAAATAGATCCTGTTTAGCCATGCTCTGTAACCTACACAATTTATTTTCAAAAAGATGTTTTTACTTGTAAGAGATTAAAAAACATAAATACTTAGCCACATCCCACTCTGGTTCAGAATAGGACTTTCGCTCTCCAAAGCCATCTTTCACTTATTCACAGGGCATTTTTAGATTTTTAAAAAAAGGAAAGATTTTGCATAGCATCAGCAAGTGAAAAGTACAAAATTAACCATGATACTTAAAAATACCGAGGAATCTCGCTCTCTCTCTCTACACTCCTCCACTCGAAAATTCAAGAGTCAAACAGTCCGATATCTGCTCTGAAAATGTTTTTTGCAAACCTAAGACTTTCACTGACCTTCATAAGCCTGGTGAACAAGGTTAAACAGTTGCTCAGCTTGTGTTTTAAGCTCTGGGTCTCTGTGTTTGTCTGGATGATACAACATACACAGCCGTCGGTAAGCAGCTTTCAGTTCTTCCTGAGAGGCCTGTGAAAAGAAACAAGATTCAATTAAAGCACAATCCATACCAGTAAAACATCATCTTCAAAATCAGCCCTGAAAGAACATATCAGATATACTCCAGAACATTTACTTACATTAGCTACAGAGTATAATGAAATTATACTTTATTTCAAATTTCTATATGGGTTAATCAAATAATTGGTTAGATGCATCAGCATTAGCAGCATTTTTGAGAGGTATTCTTTTCCCAACTACCTACTGAGCACTTAAATGATAACTGCAGCTCAACTGTGCGCACCTGGATGGAAAGCAGAACTCAAATTACAAAACACCTTGACTTTGCTTGCATAAGTTATTTTTTAAGACTAAACCAGTGGGTCACACTTGAGCACTGTGACATGAGGGAAAACCTAAATCAACTACAAAAACGGTCTATTTAATTCCAGGAATTCACACCAGAACCCTCCTGAGGCTGAATCCCAAAACATGAACCATACTTCAACCATGTCAAAAAGCATTCAATAACAAAGGCTGGAGACTTAAGCACACAATTACACAAACACAAGTCCCTCTACCGCTATACACTGTGGCAACAGCTTTCCAACAAAACAAAGAAATTATGCTCTACTGCAAAGGCGGCAGGCACGCAGTCTCTTCTAACAGACACATTCATACCCATCAGTAGGGAGTGATCTGACAGACAAATAAAGGAAGACTACTTCACTAAATCCATGAAGAAAAATTGCTCCTTCACCATATCCACACTGAACTGTTTAGATATGGCTTGGCTCCCTCCCAGGGACATTTTGCGAGGACAGATTTTGGATGGTTCTTTAGGAATCAATGAAGTAACAAAACAGTCTTCTGTTCCCCATCCCCCAAAACACTTCCTTACAGCAATCTTACCTCAGTGAACCCTTCCCAGTCTCTGTAGCTATCCAGTTTCTCCTTTCCCACAATCATCCCTACACTTCAACATCCTGGACCTTGAAAGTCAGGCATCTTTGACATTCACTTGTGTGCACTGTCAGTAAATTAACAAGCAGCTCTATACAAAACTGAACTAGCATACAAAAAAACCCATGAAATTTCAGACAGCTATACACTGGCCAGTTCCAAAATCATAAATGTAGCAGTGAATACCTGGATGCCAGGAAGGAATCATAGTGAAATGACTGCAATAGCATCAAGGGCATTGCCTGCACTCCCTTCTGACTCTCTCTATTTCTGCTATAACAAGGGATTAAAGTGGACAGACACTGAAGGGGCACTAAGATTAACTAGTGAATAAGGGATCACACAGAAAACAATGTTGGTAACAGACTTGAAAGGCATTTGAACATCAATTCCATTTACTCTCAATACCTCACAGTGACTGAGGTTTTCACACTATTTACCTCAAAAACAAAAGTCACAGCCTTTTCTGTCTCAAACAAATCAATTTCTGACTGCAGAAAAGGGATCAGGATAAAATGAAAAGTTAAGCTCCGTTTGACAAGTGTATTTATTTTAATACAGACATTGAGACTCAATCGATTTTTGAGGCCAGTTTAGCACTACTGATTTATTTTGCAGGTTTTTATATTTCATATTAATGATTCCAAGTCATACAGCAGAAGGACTTGATGGGCTCAAGAAAGCAAATGTAGCAACAATGCAGTCATTTTTCCTTCTGTTATCTCCCTGTACACTCTTGGTTATTAAAATTAAACTAGATGAGAAGGGAGTGGAATATCCAGCTCTACAATAACCTTCTTTAATCATATTAATGATAAATGGTTAAATGTGTTATTAAGTAGTAGAAATGAGCTGTTTCATTTTTCATAAATATCATGTTCAATAAAACGTTAGATTGGGCTTTTCATCACAAGCGAATAGCTTAGGTCATTGGTTCAATATTTCATGAATGATAACAGCTCTCAGCCCACTACAGAAATACTGACAACATTTCAAATTGTAATGAGACACATAAGTCACTAATAATGATATTTTAAAGTTATATTCTTATAACTAAAATTCTAGGCAAAATTAAAAGGTGCATCAATCCCCTTGGAGATTGAATAGCTTCATTTAATGTCTCAATGATCAAGTTACATTTTCATGGGATCTAAATCTATAATAGATTAAACGTTTATATATAGAAAATTGCTGCTGAATGGGTTTAGTCTCTTTATCAGCGCTGTGAAGTTTAGTGGCTATCTATTATTTTCAGATTAGCTGCCTCACCCTGCTCAACCCTGTTCTATTGACAGAACTGTGAGCTTGTGCCACATCAGCAAGATATGTGCGCTAAAATTTTCCAAGAGGGTTCATTTAAATATACATTCTCTCTTTCAGTAGTCATTCCCTTGGCTATGACGCAGATGCCTTTTCATCCACCTGCTGCAGTCTGGCCCATGTTTTGTTAAATTATCACATGAACTGAGAAGCTCTTGACATAGCTAAATCACCCATTAAGTCCTCAGTGGCTTCAATCACAATTTGGCTTCAAGACCCACACCAAGAACTAGTCAGAAACCTAACATCCTGTTTATTTAAACCAGGCAAAAAGGCACTGCTAATAAAAAAAGAAACTAACAGTGAGATATGCTGCACCATGGCAAAAATAAACCAGACACCCTGTTTTACACAATTCTCATTTATGTAACTGTTTCATCAGCAGACTTATACAAAGTAACTGGCCCTGCAGAGTGACAGCTTCACTGCTTTTTCCCCTGGCTTCCCCTCGCCTCTTCATGCCCAGCACATTGCTGCTCTACACACAGCCACCAAACAGCTCCAACTCAACAGACAGAGACGCATTTCCCAAAGACACCGGGGCTAGTGCATTTACATACCAAGCTCACCTCACTGTTGCTATCCATAACCCAAGAAGAAAGGGATATATTTAACACAATTAAAAGGCAGGGCATTAAAAACCAATAAAAGAACATACTGTACTAAATTTGTGTTGCATGAAAAAGTCTGTGGAACACATTGCCACAGGGAGTAATTGAGGACTAGAATTTAGAATGGCTCACAAAAGAAATATTGGCTATTTACTTGGTCATCAAGACCACTTAGAGCACTGGTGGGCAATTATTTGCGCCCACAGGCCACACAGGCAATTCTGGGAAGCTGCTGTGGGCCAGTCAGCACCTCCCGCTCCTAAACAGCCTGGAGCCTGCCATTGCCAAGAGCGCACAGCCCCACCCCTGATCCTGGCCTGCCCTGTGCCCACTGCAGGCTTGCCCCAGCCAGAAGCCACACACACAAACCTGAACTCGGCCTGCCCCGTGCCTGCTCCAGACCGCCTGCCTATGCTAAGCAATAGCAGGAGCTGTACAGAAGCTGCTGCTCCATGTGGGGCAAAAGCAACCCTCCTTCTCACCACTGCTGGGCCCTCCTTGCTGCAGCCACCTTGAGCCCATGCCTGTGAAGATTCAAGTTCAGCACTATCACTAAAATTTGGTTCTCTGCTGCACACCAGCAGAATTATAGCTACAGAGCCACAGTCATGCAGCCTGTAGGATTTCCTTCAGAAGTTCCTAAGACTTACATCAGTGAGGTAAACTGAGAACATTGTGACTATCAAGACCACATACACTGACATCACCTGCAAAGATAATTTGCTCAGAGCTCTTAAGACAAAATTTTATCTGCTGAATTCTTTTCAAATATAGTAGTAACAGTTCAATATCAACCACAACTCAAAAGTACTAATCTTTATGTTGACATGCTTAAATAGTGCAATCTTGCTCTTTAAATAATTATTGTATTTGACCTGCCAAACTACAACACAATACATTCTTCTGAATCTTATCTACTGGATACAAAAAACTCTACTAGATACAAAAAATCATGAACTATAGACTTTGGTTTTATGGCACATTATAACCTCCCTGCCATCTGATAACCCCAGATAACCTCGCTACATTTTATCATCTACATCCCGGTGGACAAAATCTGGCCAGCCAGGCCATTTTATCCAGCCGATAATTCCTAAAAAATTTGGAAAATTAATATTTATCTGCCCCCGGCTGCCTCTAAAGATGACAGGAGCCAGGGGCAGGAGGATCCAAGGGAACCCACTAGTAAGACCAAGCAGTTGCAGAAGCAAGGCCCATCTGGCCCCACCCTCCCACCCCCAGCCAGAAGCCCCATGCAGAGCAAAGCATCTGGCTTGGGACCCTGGGGCTGTTTCTGTCTCCCTGCACTGGAGGGAAATACAGATAAGGAGGGGGGAGGCAGGGGAGGACCACAGGCGATTGCCCCAGTCCTCAGGGTCAGGCCGAGCTGGCTACTGCAGTCCCAGCATGCAGCCAGGAACCATGTGGTACTAGAGTGGCCAGCATGAGGTGGAGAGGAGTGACAACAGCTGCAGGCAGGGAAGCACTTAAAGTGGCAGCAGCGCAGTGGCAGCAAGCAGGCATGCGGAGCGCAGCAACAGCTGGATGGGAGCACAGGGACCAGACCAGCAGGTGCTCTGGAGCCAGGCCAGCTCCCCCCTCTCCCTGCTGGTGCAGATTGGCCTTGCTCCATAGAGCCCCTGCTGGTCCCCGCCCTGTGCTCCTGCCACCCCGCTCTGGGCCCTGACAGTGCTGGCCCCAGCGCACCAGCTGGCCCCACACTCTGCACTCCCACCCAGCTATCGCTGCACTCTGCGTACTTGCTCACTCCCACTCCCCACCTGCTGCAACCACTTGTCTGCTGCTTCTGCCACCACTCCCCTCCACACCCCCACCATTGCTCCACATGGTTCCCAGCTCCATGCAGTGCCAGCTGGGCCGGTACAACTCCTGCTGCGTCCTGTAGTCTCTGCTGTGCAGCTGGGTCATAGTGCTGGAGCAGCAAGCTGGGGGGGAGGATGGGGAAGTGGCAGAAGGGCAGTGGTGGCAGACAGGGGTGGGGGGGAGTGGCTGTGAGTGGCAGCATGAGTACATGCCGATGCCCCAGAGGCAGAAGCAGCAGGAACGCAGAACCTGGACTTGGAGGAGCACTGGTGGGGGCTCTGCCAGCCATGGCGTAGCTGTGGGAAAACCCTC